AACGGAAGAAATCGATCAGCCGATTGCTATTCGGAAACCGCACCGCTCACCTAAGCCGATAGAACGTTACATTTCACAACTGTGATTCCAACTGTCACGTGAGGGGATGTTACATGTGTGCCTTCTGCTAAAACGAGGAGCAACATACAGACACATGCAGATCGGTTGACCAATAGCTGATTCGTCCACTGCTTTTCCTTGTGCTGATTGGTTCCTTTTCAACTTACTCATCTGGTGTAACTTACAGGTCATCATTACAGTTTTTGGCACGTCCCATCCGGTGTGTTCTTATTCACTTCTTTCGCGGACTAAGGGTCCAGGTGCAAACCAGCAATACTCGAGTAATACGTATCAGTTTTGTTCCATCGTCCGTTAGATTGAGTCAGATATATTTTCCCCTTTTTCTTATGTTTCCACACAATGCAGATGTATATGATCTGAATATCACCTCAAGAGGCGAAGCATTTAACTCCAGGTCAGCCTGGGTCCCATCATTTGCGGGCTGCCATGAATGTTCGTGGGGAATTCGTGCATGAACGGGATCTCCAAATTGGAAAACAACATTGTTATCCCTGTCCAACGTAGCTGTCTTGTTTCGCTTCTGTTTGCACCCGACGATTAGGAAATAATAGGTGCAGTCTAGAGTGAAGTGTTCTACGGAACATCAGTTCGGCGGGGGATTTACGCAAGGCTTCGGTTAGTTATTCTGTAGGTTAAAGGTAATCAAGTTAAGATAAACTTTATGATCGCTAATGGGTTCATTTGCAGCATTTTCACCACCACTGCGGACACCTGGATGATAACATCAATATACATGGAAAAAAAGCAGAACTGTTACTCCAACAAACGCTCGCGCAGCATGTTAGTGACTTTTGCTGTGTCAACAAGTAAACGTGAGAGATAAGGCAAAACAGTGTTACGATATGATGAGGTGCGGGAGAGTAAAATTCCGAATTTCGTACGAGTGTCAGAGAAAGGGAGTTTAGGAAAAATAATTGTGAAGTGGATGAAATCCATCAGTTAGTAACTTAGAAGAAAAATCATTGCAGGTATCAAGATGTCTAGAAATGATCAAAGCAAGTAAAGGATCTCTAGACAAGCCGATATAGCAAGAGATGTGCTTTATAGATCCCACCAATAAGATGTAGTCTTTCTGAAGCAGTCCAGAGAGAATGACAGGAGTGCAGTATAGCCAGTGGGCACTGGTCCCCGGTAACTGCTTTAGCTGGCCTTTTTCTACCGGCTAATACATTTGACGCAGGGTGATATGGGGATGTATGTACGTGTTGAATGTCATTACTCTGCATAAGGCTCTCGAACTCTTTACTGGTAAAACAGGACCCATTATCTGTAGAAACAGTTTCAGGTATTCCGAAAACCGGAGACGATGATCGCACCTTTGAAATGGTCGTTTCAGTCGTGGTATGAAACAATGGATAAACATCGATCTATTTCGAATAGGCATCAACTATCAACAGGAAACTTACCTACATTACTTGGAGGGAGTCCACCCTGATGTTTGCAACTTGCTGCGCAAATATTTCACTGATTGTGCGCACTTTACCCATTTAAACGGCAAAAGCTCCTCGATATTCTGCGCTGACTGTAATGTTTTACAGGGCACATTCTTCTCATCCATTTTATTCCCTATATGTGTCGAAAGTCTTTCCATACCACCGACATTCATTGGATGTACATATGCTGCGATGTCATCTCGTGGTGCATAGCTCCCACCATTGAATTGTCTATGGTACACGGTGGTTTTGAGGAATATGTGAGTTGGTCTTCAACCAGGTCCCTTAATCTTAATTCTTCGAAATGTACTGATGTAACATTTTCAATTCTCGGCCCTGATAAATTACGAGTAATTTTAGATGCCCATCCTCTATTAACTTTGGAGAACAAAAGCATTCCTATTTCATCCACTGTCAAATATCTCGGTGTATATTTTTCACAAAGTCCCACTGTCCATGCACATTTTGGAGACGTTTAACAAAGTCAGAAGTTCTCCGTATCACGAAGCGTCGTGTTGATAATTGTAACTGCATGTATACTACTACAATGATTGTACTGTTCCCCAGTAATCTTCTCTGGGCTACTGCAGAAGGACTATGTCTTGCTTGTGCGATCAGATGTGGTGACTTACCGAGAGATTCCATAGTTGATTTTATTGGTCGTAAGCATTTTGACGCTTGTATGCTTTCTTCTTCTAAGGTCCTAAGTGATTGCTCTCATCCGCTAAATAATGCTCTCTCACAAACGTTACCTGTATCGCACACACGTCCAAAATTTAGGATTTTATTCTCTCGCACTACTTCGTATCGTAACACAATTTTGCCTTATTTGTCACGATTTCTTGTCGACCCTAAGGAAGTCATAAATGCCTTGCGCATGCGACTCCTTGAATGACATATACATACACCTCTTCAATATTTATTTATGCATTTTTCGCTGGTTCCGTTCATTCAGTGTATCCGCAATGATAGCATAAATGCTGATGATGTACACATTTAGGTGCATAAAGCCTATTTTGACTGGGCCGAAAATGAACATAGCCTGCTCAACAATTACAACGAAGAACAATGATTTATGTCGGTGAAAAATGCAGTTGCTTGACAAGTCCCGCAGGATGGTGGGGGTAAAACTACAATTATCAGACGATAGAAGGGTTGTCTGTTTGAGCGGTTCTCTAGCAGATACGCTGCTGAATTATAGTAGTGTAAGTGGGAATCGAATGCGAACGACGAGGCAACATGGGGACAGTTGTAGTTGCTGTACTACGTGAGAAAACTAAAAACGAGAATACTCAATTCTGTACCGCATCCCCAGGTTTATGTAACATGGTAATCCGGTTTGAAGGGACAGTTAATATATTCCAAAGTAGCACAGTCTGGACGACGTAGTGATGAGGGCAACATCCAATCGTTTTTTGAAACTGTCCAAGGTGGGAGAGGAAACAACGAACTTCGGGAGAGAGTTCCAGGGTTGTCAACCCCGAAGAGAAGAACAATTCCGACGGCATTTCAGGCGGTTATACTGTTCACTCCATTTCAGAGGATTACCTCCGAGATTGGTGTTATGGCTGTTTCAACGAGTGACAGCATACGTGATTAGGGTCACTCAATATATGGTAGACTAACATGAGATCACCGCGAAGCCTTCGGTAGCGGCCAGTGAAAACTCCCAGTGACTTCAGCCTTTGATGGTAGAACAGATTTCGTAGGCCCTTGACGTCCTTTGTGGCCCTACGTTGTGGTTTCTCTAGTACTTCTAATTCGCGCTTCAACCAGAGTTGCCAAGCTTGGATGGCGTATTCAACGTGAGGGCGCACGTAAGAATTGTGCATCATGGGGAAGATGGATGGGTCGAATCTTCCGAATGCTCTCCGCAGCAAGCCGACGTGCTCGTTGGTTCTCTTCGCAGCTGTCTCTGAAGGGTTGGAACAGTTAAAGTCACTTTGAATGATCACACCAAGGTCGCGTTCTTGGGAAGTTGTTTGCAATACATGTCTATGCCTATGGCGCAAAGGAACAGCGTGATATTTTCCACATCAATGTAGAACTGACCAAGTTGAAATCGTGTTGAGGTCACGCTGGAGCTTTTCGTGGACGTTCGGTTCCCTGATCACTCGCCATAACTTGATATCATCCGCGAAGAATAGGAAATCGGAAGTAGTTTCCCTCGCCAGATCGTTTACGGAAATCAAGAATAGACGGCGCCCGAACACCGTGCCTTGGAGTACAACGCACTCCACCTCAATTGCGTCGAACAGGGATTCTCGTACTCTCAGTTCCAACCGCCGCTCGTGCAAGAAATTGCCTATCGAACGCAGCAGTGGGTCACCAACGCCATAGAGCAGAAGCTTATCGCGGAGAATTCTACGGTCTAAGCGATCAAACGCTTTTGAGAAGTCCAAGTAAATGACATCAACTCCTGCTCCACCATCAACTGCTTCAGTCCAGCTACTGCGTGCAATTAGCAGGTTCGTAGTGCACGAGCGGTTTTGTCGGAAGCCATGTTGATCTGATGCTATCATGCTGTGATTTTGCAAATACTGCATGAGTGCATCAGCGATGATAGACTCCATAACCTTGGAAAGCACAGGGAGTAGCGTTGTCGGACGGTAATTGGTTGGGTCAGTGCGACTACCTCCCTTATGGGTAGGAGTGATGACCCCTCGCTTCCATATTGCTGGAATTTGGTTCTTCTCCATACAGCGCTGATAGTATATAGCCAGATCACTGACTGCTGCCTATAAAACCTTCGGTCGAATGTTATCGACACCAGGAGAGCTGTGGATACGCAGGGACAACAGGTTCTTTGACACACTTTCTGCAGTAAAAGTAATATTGGATAAGGCTGATGGTGGGACAATAGAAACAGGGATAACCGTTTGGCTCGTTACTCTGGAACGTTTGTGAGTAATGGAACCGTAAAAGATTGGCTGCTTTCGTTGCTGATCGCGTGCACCCACCAGTCTTGATCATTGCTGGAATTCCGCGTTGCACTTTACGAAGACCATTAACACGCCTGTATAGGAGTTTGCGGTTCGTGCGGAATCTCTTCGTTAACTCCTGCCGATACGTCACCTTGCCCTTGCGGATCAAACTCACACAGGAATTACGCTGTGCCACATACGCAGTCTGGGTTTTGGAATTCGGGGAGTCCTTGTGAGCTCTCCATGCTGAGTCCCTCAATGACATGCATTTGCGTGTTCTGCTCCTCAGAAATGTCTTTCTTCTCCTTTGAAGATGGAAGGATTTCTGTTCAGACGTGTGCGTTACCAGTGTGGTAAATGTCCTTGTGAAAGTGTCCCAGGCGACTTCTGGGGGTTTTCGTCTAAGACGTTCTAAGATACAAGACCAAGCAATGGCTGAATTTAAACAAGTCCATGCTAAATGTGAGAATTAATCTTATTACTTAGTCGACGTTTCGCTTACTAAACAACCCACTGTTTTTCTGCGCTGAGTAATTACCGTTATTATTTTTGCTTCAAGCAGACCCTCTGACCCGAGTATCTATTACGTGGCCGGTTCTATTTTTGGAGGTGGTATCCATAGATTTTTGGAATAGAACACGAACCGAAGGTTATGGGTACCTGGAATTACCAAGAACTACGGGTGAGTTAAGCTGTGACAGAATTCGAAGACCAGTTTCCGGTGAACACGTATACTTAAAATTGGGAAATTCTCAAAGTGAAAAGTATCCATTGTTCATACATCTCATTCCCGTAGTTACATGAGTGCCTTTTGATCTTGAGTAGTAAGCTTACATTATGTCCCACATGATGCAGGTGAGCACGTGACAGTGGTCCACTGTTGGTTACCATCTGGGGAATCCGTGATTGAGGAATTGAGAAGATTCTTTGTCGGTGGGACAAGTCAACTGGAAGATGTAACCTGTACTGCCATTCCTGGAAACCTCGAGGTGAGGCTAGTTCTGCTGTACACCTACCTTTATGTAATCAATGTGTACGGAACACTGCGGTCAGGGGGACATGATTACTTTCCAAGTGTAATGTACATACGTTTAATTGACAATCATGTTAAACAACATGCTAGCGGTTGCGACGGTTTGGCCTGCAAGTGAACCACAATCCAACTTCATCGCCAGGGAAATCCGTTGAGGTCATCTTGCCGTCTTGTTGCCTCACGAAATGGATTACATCCTTAGGGTATTAAAATTGTAGGAAATGTATGAAAATAGGGCGCACAAAGGGAATAAGAAATTAGTAATTTGCGAAGCTTGTATTTCTAATAAACAGCCAATTAAATATTTCCATACATGTGGGTGGTACACATAAAATAGTATGCCAGAGAACTGCTGTTTCTCAGCATGTGACGTTGCACTTGTTTACAACTAAGTGAGTGCATAGCTCATCTAGTGAATATGAGGGATTTAATTCAATTAGAAAACCTGCATTGAACCAGCAATCTATAGTTTCAGGCAAGGCGTACAGCTGCACGATTCATCTGTTAGTCGTAACATATGTAGTTTTATTCGTTAACAAGCGCCATTAAATACCGTCATCTGGTGAAGTCAACTGACGAACGGCATGGTAAGCATATTGAATACCTAAGAGAAGGATAAGCAGCGAAAAAGTATACTGAAACTGACGCTCCCTGTCAACGCTAATGTAATGAATTTAACACACACGTTATATTTGGTATTCAGCTCATTGAATTGCGGCTTGACTCAATTTACAGTATTTGTTATCAGAGCTTCGACTTTCCCGGCGGGAGGGGGCTAGAAGGCTACAGTCATGTTGCCTTAGTTTGATGGAGAGAAGCACATACTTTACTTGCACTGAACAGAACCGAAGGTTAATGCATACACCATAACCCCTGTCTCTCCCATTACTCCCCACAGAAAAACAGCTTTCAATGTAAACAGGCTTATCGATCGACTACCCTGGGCACAGCAACATTCTTTAAGACGTCTATCAAGTGGTCACATATACCGTAAAAATAAATGCTCCAACAGTCAACAGAAACACACAAGTTTCAAAGCATTTGTGGTGGAAGCGGTCTAGCAATTTCCAGAGACATTAAACTACTTTGCTCTGGCATTCCAAGGAAATCACTGCCATAGCACTGTGACCAATTCACCGACCAACAGGCTGGTATTCATTCAATAGTCTTGACATATAGCGTGGGGACCAGACGAACAACATTGTTCTTAGTCAACGATCTAAAATGAAATCTCAGTTGAACACTACAATCGGTGTTGCCGCGGAAGTAAAAGGACACTGCACACCAGACTCCATTTGGTTCTGTACAGTATGACCAACTCACTGGTAAGGTGCTCGCACAGAAAGATGACAAATTGACAGCGGTTGTACAGCATGCTACGACTGGTATAGCGGCCGCATCGGTACCGGCTGCTGCAGCAAATCGACTCCCGTAGCCTAAAGATAAGCTCTGCTTTGGAACAAACTAGACAAGCCAAGCACCTAGTTAATAGCGTAGAGCCACTATCCAAAAGTGAGCATTCGCAAACAGACGGGCAACCAGGGTCTGCCAACCTCGGCAACCCCACTGAGTCGTTATTCTCGGATATGTGCTTGTGGCACATGACGCTACGTTACATTCGGATTTATCCGGCACTATGAAATGCTTGACAACATACATTTCATTCATTCCATTATATACGTTAGTTGCAGATGGAAAACACCTCAGCCATTGTGTCGCAGTACAAACGACACGAAGGAGAAAAAAGCAACAGTGGCACGCCAGCTGAGTCCCCAATAACAGATGGACATCCTTCCGCAGAGCTAACAGCCGGCTATCGTGCCGCAAAAAGTTATATTATGCTCCGCGTTCACATGTGAGTTGAAACTAGAAGACAAGCGACTATTGAAGCAAGGTGGGGGCCCAACAATTGAGGAGTTGGAAACAGGGAGGATATAAGGGGAGCTGGAACGGGACGGTTAGAGAGAAAAAGCGTAAAACGAGCAATAAGAAGATGGGAAGGCTTGAGCAGCAGCATCCAAATCCCTATCCACCCTACTCGATGCAACAGATAGGACACCGTTGACTATCCTCTGCGGTGACCAGAGCATCAAGAAACTGTTTGAAGAGAAATTCGTTGTATTGTGTGCGCAGGATACTGTCAGGTCGCCCAGGCCTAGACAGGAGAACGATTAGAGTTCTCAACCAAAGCCTTTGGTACAAAAACTTGTCCGCAAGGCAGCGGGTTTGGCGTTGGGCTACAAGGAGTCCATTTTAAGGAATAAAAAGCCACCCTCATTTCAACCCCCAACATGGAGGACCAGAAGGCTAAGTTTGTCTGGTCTCTAACCATTGACCAATCTGGTATGAGTGGCTCTGAAGGTGCAAAATTGCACCAGCCAGCATAGCTCAATGAGTCGCTGAGGCACACAAACCATCGCACCACGGTAAGGTCCGGCCTCATTGCGATGGTTTGCGTGCCTCAGCGATCCATTGAGCTATGCTGGGTGTTGCTTTCGTCAGTGGTTGGACGCCAGACAAACTCAGTCTCCTGATTCCCCAGGTTGGGGGTCGGAGTGAGGGTGGCTCGTTATTCCTTAACCTGGACTCCTTGTAGCTCACTGGCACAATCCTGCTGCCTTACTGTCAGGTTTTTGAAGCAAAAGCTTGGGTTGAGAGCCCTAACCGTTCTCCCCCCCTAGGCCTGAGCAAGCTTACAGTATCCTGCCCAAGCAATACAATGATCTTGTCTTCAAACCATTTCTGATTGCTCTGGCCATCGCACATGATTCTCGACGGTGCTCCATCTACCACATCGAGCAGAGCGTATAGGGATTTGGATGCTACTGCTCAAAACTTATGTTTTTTATTCTTCCTCTAAGGCTATTTCAACCTTATCGTCCCGTTCTACTTTCACGTTTCTCTTCTCGTTTTCAACCCCCCAATTCTTGGTCCTCTCCCACCTTGCTTTGATCGGCGTTTATCTTCTAGTTTCAACTCCCATTCAAACGCGGGACGTCACTCCTGATCTTTCGACAAGTCTTGGTGTTTTCCACCTCTAGCTAATGTGTATAATGCTGATGATTACCAAATCTGAAGTCGACATCGAGGAAGACAGTGCGCACCGACGCGTCTAAGTCTTTTTGTTAGTTTATTTATCATCTTGTGCCAAGTCTACGGTGATCAGATACGGCCGACAATACAGCCGCCAACACTACTGGCGAACGACCGCCAACGTGATCGATGGACCCCGGTGGAATGTGTGACTAGCCAACCAGAACTGACGGCAGACTCAAGTAGACAAAAGTCACGAAACACAAAGAGTCAAGGTCAAAGGTCATCTGCCCATCAACCAGGCTGAACGCGGATCGAAATCCCAACCAATAGGGTTGCTCGTCTCCACGGGCAACCACGGCAGTATAAAAAACGCACGCTTGCAACAAAATTGCCAAGCTCAGCAAACAGTTCAACCGTCATCTAACAGTGATTTGATCAACAGCTACCGACAGTTGAATAGCGACTGTCAAAGCTGCTGGTATGATAACCAATCTGGGCCGTCGAACCCAGAACTTTAGTGGGCCAATACTCATAGCAGAGCGTAAGTCTGCGTGAGAGCACTCAACAGCTCTTGTGCATCTGTGAGAATCGATCTAAAGGGGACATTCTCGTCCGCCCATTCTAACTCCTTCAGTTTCCAAATCGATCGAGACTGGATCCTAGATGAGTTAGAACAAAAGTACTCGTGGCCACTTTCATCGCAAAATTGAAGAGGAACAGAATTCTGTACATTACGAAGGATGAGTGAAATGCATAAAAGTTTCTAATAAGTTTGAGTAGCGGTAGCTAGGGTTGGCGGTTGAAGTATTGATTGGCTCCCCAAGCAGAGCGATTTGATTGCGGCCGTTTCGTCACCAATCGAGGTGGCATCTTTAGTGCGTAATGGCAAATAGCTTGATAGCAGGCACCGAGCTTCGAGCGAATCTGTCATATTTCTTTATGTAATTGTGAGCGTCAGTGATCATCATTCGTGCCACGCGCTTCCCATCCATCTCTGAATGCGCTCGGAGCTCAGTAATTGCTAACAAGCTACTTGCCATTGGGTGTTGAAAATGCCACTTCGATTGGTGGTGAGACTTCTGCAAGCAAATAGCTCAGCACAGAGAACCAATCAATATTTCATCCATAAGTGTACATATGGGGAAAAAGCGAGAAGTAGAAGCAAGCCACAAAGTTAGAACCAGGTGTATAGGCATAGCAGAACCAAACAAGCTGGACACATTATCGAGGCATAAAAGCAGGCAGCGCGGAAATACTGTGTTGATGTGTGTAAGCGTCAAACCGATTGGAAGCCTTCAGCGAACTCGCTTCCAGCGGAATCAACAGCAACAAAGCTGGTACTGGAACAGGGTACTATTGCAAGCAAGTAAGACAATAAATGCACAATACCTCGCCAACACAACTGGTCAGTATACCTAAAGGGATCTTAGATGCGGTTACACAGATATATATCCTCTTGATGCTTCCATTCACCAGTCAGTAAACAGTATACATGAAACTAAAGCTTCAACATATGGCTCAGAGGATGGGGCGCGGAATTATCGACACCGTGACCTATCTTTCGTATATAGACACTCTGCAATTTGAAATACTAGTAATACTACTAATCAGTTCAGGAAGATCTTTAATAAACCAAACAGTTTTAGTCCCCTTAGGCACTGATGCTAGGCTATTTAAATTTGACTAGGCACGTCGTCTATCATCTTGTTTGACTCTAGCACCTTTTCAAACAGGATTATCGGAACTACCTTAACTAATGAATGTCCGACGGTGTGGGACAATGGGGGTGCTCCCATGTCTGTGCCAGTAAAGAACCCTCTTGTCAAGCCAGCGGAGTCCGCCGAACCAAACACGAACTTAGTGGTGACAAATGCCGTTAAAGCACAATGAATTTCATCTCCATCAGAGTCAGATGATCCCTTATCCACTGCTTAAACATTTGATTTTCGAGATGCAGACAGAAGGGAACACCTAGGATCATTTAAGAACTTCAAATACTTATTGCGATCGGGGAGCCTCGAGCCTCATCATCTGCAGGGGAGCGGTTACCCTCTGGCCTGTCATGCCTATTAAGACCAATAAAAAGGGCAGCGTAAGCTGGTTGAGTGACCCAAGTTATCACAGAATGAGGAACAAGTAACTCCACTTTCGAATTATCAAGAGGGTGCAGAAATGAAAGACCCGAGTTCTGAATAATCGAGTCACTAATGTGTGATTGAATCTCACTCGCCTCAACGTTAAGTAATGTGTCAGCGATCAAAGGGCACTAGACCACATTAGTACACGATTCGGTATCATAACAAATGGCTTTATCTGAAGGCGCCATAAATGTCACCCCCTTACGTGCACTTATCATGACAGCTTTCACCTTCTGACGAACATCGCTAAGTCCCAAGGAAACACGAGTATATGACAACCCGTTAGAAACCGCACACACACCAGCCGAAGTCAAGAAGCAATGCAGTTTATCTGTGTCTGGCACGGAAGATATGCAGCACAAGTTGCCACACGAGTCTTGTTTTCCGCAGAAAATGCGTGATCGCTTGAGTCTGTACGATCAGAGTCACTGTTGTACAATCTATCGAGCTGCTGACATAACTTTAGACAGGTCTAATTATGTAGGTTGCTGCGGCGATAAGCCATCCAAAAAAAGTTTGTGACCGCACATCTCGAGTTCATCTATACAGCACTTGTAAACAAAGGTAGCAGTGCGTTGACTAATTTCATCTGATTTATACGCAGACACTGACGTGGAATCACAGTTAACTATACTTTCGTCCAAGTTTGTCCGAAGCCTGATGATCTCTACGTCGATTTCTGCATCCCACGTCAATAGCAACTGCCATTTCGTAGCTCAGCTAAATTCCAAACGACAGACGAACAACGGAAAATATCCCTACACCTGCTCTTATTACTTACGTGTGAATCAGAGTATAAAACATACTCATCATGATAACTGCCAGTGGACTCCCAAGATACTATAATTACCACGGATTTTCCAGTGCGATTGTCCCTATAAAGCAAGGCCCAACATGGCCCAATAAAAATGGGCGAGCCTTGTACCCCTGAATGTTAAAGTTCACTCTAAAGCGAGGTGGCTTGTTGAGTAGTCGGATTTGTTTTTACTCTCTATCAACAAATGATGTGCACATTGCTGATGGTTACCGAAAGGATTAAATGGGTGTAACATGCTCCTCCGGATGTTTGACTGATTTCTGATTGTGTTGTTTTGACATAAACACGATTGTGGTGCTGCGCTACTTCCCTAATACGAGCAGAAAGAGACTTCACTAACACACGATCATTGATTCTGAAAGCACTCTCCCTTAAATCTCTGAAGCCTCTAGGTACAGGGAAGGAAACCGATCAGCACGGGTGAAAATGATCCACATCGGCCAGAAAAGATTGTAACAGAAGTTCGGATAACTTGTCATTTGGTCACAGTACGTTAAGAAATCTGTGTCGAAAAACAAATTGAAGTTCGTGAAAGCATCGATTTCCTTCACTCGTGTCATCTGGAGGAAATGACTGTTCCCACTTCAGTCGACTGTCACTGCAGAGGGTGACATTTCGTGGTTTATCTTACTGTAGAAAGCGATGGGCAGCTGACTATATAGTGAGTAAAGGCTGAATAATTGAATGATCGCAAATTATTAAAAAATATTAAGTCCAAATTTGCTTCTAGGACATCTTGCGATATTCTGTAGCACGAGAATTTGGAGGAATGTGATTAAGGATCAAGTAAGAATATTAGGAAAGCAAAATCATGCCCAGGTTCTCTATTAAAGCAAGTGAAGATGTTTCTACTATAGCTCAAAGTAATTGAGTTGGGAACCTGACCGATGTCCAGATTTCGACGTCCCATGGTTGGGTAACTAGTCTCGGAAAAGCTTATCGACACACATTACACGAATACCAAGTGGCGCAACACTCATTCGGATGGGATAGGGAGAGCTCCTGATGATTGCACCGCATGATTTTATTTATGTCTTCAAGCGTGCCAGGTGACCACTCATCAGACGAGTTTTAAGTCATCCCGAGCTAGATCCATCGTGTGATCGACAAAAATGATGAGTGAACTTTTTTCCACTTTTTTATACACAGAGCGAACATTTGAACAAATACGGACTCAGGACCAAAACATCTGGAAACGTAGTGCTTCGCCTCAACTGCGCAGTCCAAAGCTGGTAAGCACAGAGCCAGTTACTTTTACCTCTACGTTACAGCAATTGTAATGCTTGGCAGAAAGTGTGTCCATGCGGGCGTTACTGGAGTGAGCCCGCAATCAGGTGGTCCGGAAAACCTTATATATAAGTGTCACAGCTGAGACCACCGTATGCATGTAATGTGGACAATTAGATTTTGAAAGAGTAGTGATGAGGGAATTGGGCAAGTCTAACAACGTTCACTGTTACATCTACGCAAAATCCGCCGGAAAAAAAATCGGTCAACATAGGGATAAAATATTCCAAAGAAGTATCATTTTAGAAGCAGCTTGTAGAGCAGTACAATGAACCGTATGAGGTAGTGAAATCAACCATAGTCGCACGGTGAAAGCTACCAATACATTTGAGAGTGCGAGAGAAGGATACTTGCCTCCAGAGACCAACAGGACTTAATGTCCATTTGAAAATTCCGTGTACTCTGAAGACGTCGCCTCATGGGAAGCTGAACGAGTAGTAGAAAACCCGGACCAAACAGAACTTAAAGTACAAGTACGATAGTACCAAGAAGGTGTAAACGTTTGTCGAAATGAATGAGTCCGCCAGCTAAAAGATGAAGCGATGTGCCGGATAAACCTAACGCAAGTTACAATGACAAAGCGTTTTAAATGACAAACTATAAGCTAGTGAAATGCTAAAGATAGCATATAGCGCATCGGTCGTGTGCTATATATCACATTCACAGAGATACGTCCAACTAAAGGTGATCGGGAGAACACATATAAAAATCTGTGAAAAGGGCTTTTGAGAGGTCAATAAATTAGCTACGACTGCAAATAAAGCGCTAGAAGAGAACGATCTAGGAAAGATATGGACGGGTGCTGAGTACGAAGATGACGGCCAGTAAATGTTGCGTCAGAGCAGGCGCAGCGGATACGGGCGTGTGTGTGTGACTCAAATAAGCTTGGACAACATTCAAACAAACAAACAACCTAATTCCCTAATACATAAGAAAATCATAACTTTGTAATATTTTTATACAGTCAAAGGGGGAATCTCCAGTTCACTACAAACATATTAATGATTTTTATGCTATGCCAAGCAGTGGTAATGTAAACGTATCCGTTTGATTGACTTCCTTGTGTGGGATGGGAGAGAGCCACACCGAAACCCTCCACTTCGTACTGGCAGAGGCTGACTTCAAATTGAACCGAGGCCATGATTGAGATTGCGTGTCGTAATCCAAGACACGGCGGGTGTTCCTAAACCCGAAAATCAAATTCTAATCGCTGTATCATGCACTGTTCGCGGAGCTCAACGGTCTAGTGGTCATGGCGATAGCTGCCAAGGCAGCTTTACAACAGTGGCCACAGGAGTCAGAAGAACCCAAAGATGTCAGTCAGTTTTGAACAATTGCAGACTCCGTTGCAGCAACAGTAGGCGCAGTTTGAGAAAGCACAGGCCAAGTTGCTCGAAACTCTGACCAAGAATTTGTCACTACATGCAGGCGCGGTAACAGGGACATGTGAACGTTGCCCCTCAGCAGAAACCTTGACCCAGCAAGTCTGTGAGTTCCGTTACAATGCCAATGCCGGTATTACCTTTGAGTCGTGGTTCCATAAATACGAAAACCTGTTTCGCGTTGATTTAGCCAGTGCTTCAGAGGACAAGAGAGTTCGCCTCATGCTGCGGAAGTTGAGTGCGGCCGAGTATGAAAAGTTTATGAATTTCATCTTGCCGAAAAAGAGCACTGAGTTAACATTCGATGAAGTAGTTGCTACTTTGTCCCAGATATTTGGAGAGCAGTCGTCATTATTCAATATCCGATACAAGTGCCTGACAATGACCAAGCGAGACAAAGAATACTGGGTTGCTTACTCGAGTCGCGTAAATCATGAGTGTGAATGGTCGCTGTTTCACAAGATGACAGCTGATCAGTACAAGTGCCTTATGTATGTGTATGGTCTTCAAGCAACCAAAGATGCGGATGCCCGAACAAGAGTACTGAGCAGAATTGAACGAAACCCCGAGATCACACTGCAGGAAGTAACGAACGAATGCCAACAGTTGATGAACTTGAAGCATGATGTTGCAATGATCCAACAGTCCTCTATCCAGAGTAGTCAGGACATCATTTGCAGGGTCAGCAGAAGTCCTCGGAAAGAACCGGTTCATGTGAGTTCACCACATTCTAAACCCTCTTCTGCTTGTTGGTTTTGCAGGGAATGGCACTTTGGTCGAAACTGTCCGTTCCGAAATCACATTTGCAATCCCTGTGGTAAGCGAGGACACAAAGACTCGTGTTGTCTTGCGAAGCGACCAACAATGAGCGGAATACGGCGTCGAATCCCGGTGCGCCTCCGATGTCACAACGTGGCCAAAACTTTGACCACGACTTTCAAGGTGGACCGTGTCAACAGGCGTAAGTTTAAAATGTTGAAGTTCAATGATAAAGAAGTTAAGCTGCAGCTGGATACTGCGTCAGACATCACTTTGATTTGCCGAGACACATGGTGTATGCTGGGACGACCACGGCTTGTCCACACAGACCACACAGCACTAAACGCATCCGGCGGTATTTTTAAACTTCTCGGAGAGTTGCATTGTGAGGTCAGTTTCCGTGATCAGCACATTCGTACAACATGTTTTGTGACAGATCGACCAGGATTGGATTTGCTGGATCTCCATTGGATGGAGGAATTGAAATTACTTGACCAGTCAGTTAAATAAATAAATAAATAAATTGTATATTCCTCGACTATGCGAGAAGCTGTTCTCTATAAGGAACAGATCAAATAATGGTACAACTTTTCCATGACATTTCATCAATACATTTTCAGAGATAAACATGGATGCAATTGCAAATTATGTTACACAGAGTAATCAGAATCGTTCTGCTATTTTTACCTGCCACTGAATCAGGATTCTTTACAATCACATGATAGATATTTGGGCCGAGAGAAAAAAAATGTAATGAAAGGGGCTGTTGTCCGAAATGTTATGTGTATGTGTTTCAGAAATTTATTCAGGCACCATGGATACCGTTTACGAATGCGTTATCTAGGGACTGTGATGTCCCGAACATCTTAATCACGTTTTGGACGGTTAAATGCTTACTAATAGCAAGCTTAAAATTGCAAAGCGTATAGCATGTTCTGATATCACTTGGAAGTTTGTTCCAAATCTTTGAGTATTGGGTTAGAAAGAAACGTTCTCTGATTCCCGTAGAAAATTTTGGAATCATGACCTTTACCTCTTTGTTACGTACTGGGTATCTGTTGTTTACAGATATGTGAACACCGCTTTCAGGACTGCGAATTTGACAATTTATGATTCTGTAAAGAAAACATAGGTTCAGCTTCATTATCCGAAGCCAAACTGGGTCAAATCCAAGTTTATCACATCGCTCCTTGTATGTCAACTTTGAGGAATATCCACATAGCTTTTTCGTGAAGCGTCTCTGGACCCTCTCAAGAGCGTGCTGGTCAGACTTCCGTAGATTAGACTGTATCATTGAACAGTATTCCATACACGGCAATACATATGTTTTGTAAAGGGATATGCGAGATTCCGTGATGTAAAAATGATGGCAGATATAACCAATGGTCTTCATGGCTTTCGAAACTTGGAAGTCACAGTGTTCAGAAAAGTTAAACGTAACTGAATATCGCACGCCCAAGTCGCGAATTGTCCTGCATTGCGAGATATAGGCACCTTGTAGTAATAAACTGTCTGGCGGTACTTGGCATTTGTACGACAAAATGTTACACTTGTCCACGGCAAATGACATCTGCCACAGTTGGCACCAGGAGTCAAGGGCGGATAGGTCATCCTGAATGAGACGTACGGCTTCCTGAGTATTTGCACGTGGTTGTGAGTAGACAACTTTAATGTCACCAGCAAAGATAAATGCAACACCATTTCTTATTCTCTGGAATATATCGTTAATATAAATTAGAAAAAGAAGTGGACCAAGAACACTCCCTTGAATCACTCCACTAGTGATTGCTTTCGGTGTAGAGAAATGATCGCCTATGCGCACAACCTGCTGTCTACCAATTAGATATGAAGACAGCCAAGAGAACATCGGTTCTCTAATGCCTATAGCCTTCAGTTTTTCCAGTAACCTTCTGTGAGGCACTCTGTCAAAGGCTTTTTGCATATCCAGGAACAGGATTACGACACTGTTTCCGTTGTCAATGGCAGCCGTTGTGTAGTTTAAAAAGTCAGTCTGACATGTTGCGCAGGATCGACCTTGCATGAAGCCGTGTTGCGAATTGCTGATAATGTTAGCTTTGTTCAAGAATATAAATAGTTCATCTTTTACTATCCTTTCCATTATTCTAGATACGATGGGTGTGTGATTTATGGGACGAAAGTTTTTAACCTCGTGGGCAGCGCCATTTTTATGTCGCGGGATAACAACAGAAGTTTTCCATTGAGTAGGGTATACTCCGTTGTTAAAAGAGAGTGTGATGTTGAGCAAAAGCAGAAGGAAGTCACTACCACTGCGTTTTATTAAACATGGGGGTAGTCCATCAGGGCCTGCGCACGTTGAGGAGTATAAGCGAGCGACTTGACTAGTGATTTTCGCTATAGTGAATTCTACTGTGCATAGACCTTCATTATTTTGCGGCGTGATAAATGTTGGTGTGCCTGATGATTCAGTGAGCATTGATTCGGCAAAATAAGCACTGAAAGCTTCGCAGATATCATCTGGTGCGTCGTAGTATGTTCCATCAGGCGTGGTGATAAAACTGAGATTGTCACTGCAACGCGAACCCCGGGCACGGAATAGTTTGGCTAGCTCAGCTGTTTTGCTAGGGCCATTCAGAGCTTTATACTCTTCTAGAATGAGAGTTTTGTCTCGTTGATGCCTCTTTTCTTCCACGAGCTTCGACTGCTGTAATAATAGCGCAAAGTCAGCAGCTAACTTGAATTTCTGACGATTCTTATGAAGCTTTCGCGCTGCCTTCAATGCCTTGCGATCGGATTTGGGTTTGGTTTGGTAAGCACATTTTAGT